CAAAATCCACATATAAATTCTTATGGGCCCCTCCATAAGAATCAAGACGTTTGAAGAGCAAAAAAAAGGGATAAGAAATAGTTTTAAATAGTTTTTATGTCAGTGGGCAGTAGATTATTTGTCAATACCAAGGGGCAACCTCCCCGTCTCTCTCTTGAAGCCAACACGGAAGTGAATTAAACTGCAATTCATCGAGTGGCCGTATGAGGCTGGCTGCAAAGGCGAGTCAAATCTGTATCTCCCCCATGTTAAAATGTCTAACTTCACAGCAGAAAAAAAAACATGTTTACAGCCTGGTGGCAAATAGTTGTTTTGGTCAATGTGGTTAATTTTTCCCTTCATGACGACTGTGAGGGGGGTGAATTTTTTTACAACTCATCCGTTTAAATTATATTTAAGCCTTAAAGTTCTGCATAATTAAGGGCGTGGCCACTTGAGTGACAGGTGGATTCTTGCCGCTGCTTTCACTGCTAGTCGTTTGTCTGCTGTCTGTTAGCGTCACCCTCAGCTGTGTTTGTGCTTTTTCCGGGATTATTTCATACAATTTACAGTTTTTCTCTATTGCTTAAACACGTTTCTTGAAACTATGCCTCTTATTCTCAAAACAGTAAACACAAATCCATAACGTCTCACCCAGTTTCCCAAACAACTTATTTTCAGGTTAAAATAAAGCTCTATACTCAAAACCATTCACTCTTGCTGAAAAACCAAACAGACAGGACACACAAGCCCTCAAAATAACACACACTACAACATAGTCTAACACACTGGTCCAATAAATTCCAAACAACATTTCCAAAACTGGTCAGTTGTGGTTGCCCTCCTCTCAAACCCTTTTACATGATGAACAAAAGACACAACCAATGGATTCATTAACACATTTTTATTCATGTACTACACAGTACAACACACACACACACACACAAAATTATTCCGCCTCACCCTCCTGTCTTTGGTCTGGGTCAGGCCAGAGAATCTCATCCACATCACAAGTTATATTAGCCCTAGCCAGGCAGCGAGGGTAAAATCCTCGTGCATGCCTGATCCACCCCTGGCACGCATCTACTGATGCATCCAGGCAGGCTTCTTCCATGGCCTGGAGGAGGTGAACATGCGTATAAGGTTCTCGATCATACACTTTCCACTGCCATGCCGAAAAAAACTCCTCTATTGGGTTTAGAAAGGGAGAGTATGCAGGCAGAATGATGTTTGAAAATCTTGGGTTATTGGTAAACCAGTCTCGTAACCAGTACCCCTCGTTGGCTGATGGCTGCGCACATAGTGACATTCCCTCCACGTAGTGTTGCTTTCGTCAACGAAAATTATGACTAAATATCATCGTCAACGAACCTTTATCACGTGACGAAAACGAGACGAGACGCAAATGCTGGTCGTGTGACGATGACTATAACTAAATGTATAATGCAATATCGTTGACGAATAAAAACGAGACTAAATGTGGTTTACAAAAATAAAAACTATGCTAAAATGTCTCTTCATTTTCGTTGACCAAAACAAGACGAGACGTTATTTAACGTTATTTCAGGGGCTGCATCAGATCGCACTGTGCAAACGCAGGCGACTTCAGATCCTCAAGCCCCACTCGCGGCATTATTTATAAGAAGCAGTTGCGTGAGTTACAGCTGTTTCACACACGTGTGCAGCGTGTATGCGGTGCGTGTTGCAGTGTGTATGCAGGAGCAGCGCGCGTTATTGCTTTCACATGTGCTGCGTTTGCAGTGCGCAACTGATCTACGGCTGTACCACAATCACAACATTTATTCTCTATTTTTTTTATTTCAAATCAGTATTTTAGCCTACATCCATTGTCTCGCGTTGTTGAGGTACTGTAGATCTCTGCTCTGCTGCTGTTATGAACGCACCGCTCCCAGAGCGCGCGGTATGAGCGCTAATCTATAACTGTTATAACTGTATGGGTGCGGGAAAAATACCCACTGCAAATGGAGTATGTGTGAAACAGGCGTTAGCATAAACGACAACAAACAAAGTTAAGTCTGACACAGAGAAAGGGATTCGTCTTTGGGAGAAAAAGAAGAAATGACATTTGGAAAAACTTTAATTTCATCATGTGTGTAGGCTACTAACATGTTTTGGTTGGTAAAATAATATGTTGTAAATTCAATTCATAGCATCTTCCTGGAATCATTCTTGAGTCTATAAGGTAACAATAATATAAGAAGATAAGATTGTTTGAAATGGGTTTGGCTAAAAGAAAAAAATTGGTTTCGTCTATAGACCCCTTTTGCGCCGACGTCACCCAAGATGACGGCACCCACGTTTCTCTGGTGCATAAGGTCTATACCTTGTGCAGTCAGTGTTCGTATTGTTAAAACTTTTTTGTAATGTCACTCACTTTTTGCAAAAATCAGGGTTCGAATTATGATTTCATCTTTCTGGGGGTCTCCGGCAAACACCACGCCTGGCTATCAAGTAAGCGTACTGTTAGCGGTGGAAACGCAAGCCGGATCATGGTTTACCGGCCCGAATCGTTCTGCACTGTACCGTACTGCTCAGTGGAAACTAGCCATATACACTATTTCTAAAATATTCTAACTGATCCCCGAGCGTGAGTTTTTCTAGGTGGCCGTTATTTAGAACCTGTCACTTTAATGTTTCCATGGTGACGCGTTATTGCTTGTCACATTACACAGCGCAACCACAACACAGCACTGAATGAATGATGATCTGCTTTTATGTAATTTTTCCTTTTTTATGCAAAATATTCACAAATGTATTAGCTACCGTATAACATGAAACACTGATATTCCGATTGTTAAATATGTGCAAGTGGATGTGTTTTGTTGTTTAAACACCTTCATAACGACCGCTTTAAGTTAGTTGAGCATTAGTGCGACACCATGTTATTTTACTGGTAAACTGGGAGAAGAATAGAGTAAAATGTAAAGCTACTTACACAATGTGTATTTGATATGAAAACGTGCCTTATTGTAACGTAACATTAATGCTCAGGGATGGAATGCAGCTCTTTGGAGAAAAGATTCTCCCCCAGCCCTCCACCGGGGGAAGGAGTGGGCCTGCAACCACTCCCTGAAAGAACTGCAAGCCATATCTGAGCTGCCCGTAACGGGAGCGCCGCATAGCCTGGCGTACAGCGGGGCTGCAGGGCTGGTATGGGCAGGGGCACCTCCCTGTGACCACCTCCACGGCACGGCCCGGTGCTGCTGGGGCCGGGCGGGAGGGGGCGGAAGTCACAGGAGGGCGCAATCGGACTGAGGCGTCTGAGCCAGCGGCTGGTTGGCAGCAGAAGCCGCAGGGTCAGACAAAAGCCACAGGGGCATATGGCAGCCACGGCAACGCCACTCGGATTGCTTCATATGAGACCGCTTCAGCTGTGGCTTCGCGATTGAGTCCCGAGGTGGGCATGGCATCACGGTACGCTCAGAGTTCCAGTGACTCCGACCTGCCGTCAGACCTTCACCCCGTGGAGGAACCTCAGCTTTCCCCTAGAACGAGCCTCGAGTTGCTGGCAGTACGCCTTGCCCTGCACTGCTTCCGTGCGTTGCTCAAGGGTCAACACGTACTAGTCCGTTCAGACAATACCGCGACTGTAGCGTACATCAACCACCAGGGGGGTCTACGCTCTCGCCGTATGTCGCAACTCGCACGCCACCTCATCTTATGGAGTCAGAAGCACCTGAGGTCCCTTCGTGCTATCCACATTCCAGGAGTTCGGAACTGTGTAGCCGCGAGCTGTCACGGCTCCGTCCAGTCTCTGACGCACTGGAACCAGCTGTAAAGGTGGCGTGATTACACGGGGGACCCCCATTCTCCGTCTTTTCTGACGTAACTCGGAGTGACTACGAAAGGGAACGTCTCGGTTACGTATGTAACCCTCGTTCCCTGAGTAGGGAACGGACACGTTACATCTCCCTGCCACTTCCGCTGTACCGCTGGGTAGACGCCTGAGTTCAGTCTCGGCTCCTCAGCGAAGACATACTGCGGTGGCGTCCGCTTCCTCCTTTTACACTCACGGGGTGAGGCGGAGATACGCTATGCAAATTCCGCAGACCCATGGCATTTCTTTGCCATTGGCTCGTTTTTTAATACTCGAAGAGGATTGGCTTTCTAGGCGAAACCCCCATTCTCCGTCACTCCTCACGTAACGTCTCTGTTCCCTACTCAGGGAACGAGGGTTACATACGTAACCGAGACGTTTCACGTGGATCATTTGGAGATTTTCAGAGATTAGAGACTAAATGAACAACATCTCAATACTAAATTATAAAGGGCATCTCAGACCCCGTTTACACCTGGTACTAAAATGCGATCTGTATCCAGATAAGTTATCCGGATAATAAAAAACACATGTTAATGCAAAGTGTAAACGCGTTGTGATCGGATCGTGATCGGATCTGCCTGACCACATCTAGAGGTAGTCTGGCTCGCATTGTGTCCGGATCTTTACTAGGTGTAAACGCAATCTGGTTGTTGAAACCACATATATATATTTTACTCCTCCCAAAAATGCTAAAAAATAAACGAGTGAGAGCCTGTTATATAGGCTATGTCATGTTATAGCCTAGTCAGATGCGACACGCATCACCGCAGATGAGCAGCTGAGCGTCTATTCAACGTGCAAACATCGCAAATAAAAGTGAAAGTAAGTCACAGACGCAGTTAACACATCTTCAAGTAAAGAAACGAAATTATCTTACGAGGCCTGTTGCCACTCTCTCTTATTGATGTCTCTGATTTGGAAATTAGCTGATGATCAATAAAATGCCGCTCAGATCTGTTGCTTTTGGTGGCGTGCAATCCAATAAATCTGCATATAACGCAGGAGGTGAAGATCGGATTTATATCCGTTTTGCAAAAACACATTTATGTGGCCAGGTGTAAATGGAATCAGTACTTATTATCCGGATAACTTATCTGGATACAGATCGCATTTTAATACCAGATGTAAACGGGGTCTAATAGACAAGCCGGTGCATTTCGACGATATGGGAAAATTAAAGCCCAGGGGCCTCATGTATCAACACTGCGTACGCACAAAAACACGGCGTACGCCAGCTTTCACGTTCACGGCCAGATGTACTAACAGTGAAATTAACGTAAGAATGTGCGTTCCTTCAAGTAAACTTCATGTCTGGCGTACGTACATTTGTCGTGATTTTTGTCCGTTGGCGACTCATAGAGGCAATAAAATGAAGTGGCAAACATTACACTACGAATTGTTCTATCGCATCACCAGCTGTCAGATATTGCTTATAATTTGTAATTGATAAATTATTTTACATATTATTGTCACACGAGTCTTAAAATATTCTATTAATTATGCTATTAATTAAAGTAAGAACATATATAAAGCGTGTGCAAATTGATACATCCCGTCTAGCAATGGCAGCGTTGGCTTTATTAGAGGACATTTTGAATGGACGAATCTGGAGAGAACAAACTTTTAGGGACTACAATGATTTTCTGGCCCACGATGATGACTGGCTTATCAGCCGTTTCAGATTTCCAAGGGCTATTCTCTTGGAGCTCTGCACTGAGTTGGGTCCGAATTTAGAAAGCGAGACAATGAGGAGCCACGCATTACCGGTTCCTTTACAGGTGCTTACTACACTTGGTTTCCTGGAAACTGGTTCTTTTCGAAGAGAACTGGCAGACCGCTCAGGAATAAGCCAGTCGTGTTTGAGCTGTGCAATGCCAGCTGTATGGGACGGGATCATCCACTTGTCTACCAGGTATATAATGTTCCCATACGATGCAGGTGACCAGCCAAACATTAAAGCGCAATTTGCAGCGATAGCCGGTTTTCCTAATGTAATCGGAGCGATCGACTGCACACATATTGCTATAAGGGCGCCATCTGAAGAAGAATTTGCATATGTGAATCGGAAACATTTTCATTCAATAAATGTGCGGATTATATGTGATGCACAAATGCGCCTTACAAATATTGTGGCAAGGTGGCCTGGGGCAACCCACGATTCATATATCCTTACAAACAGCATGGTTGGGATGAGACTCCAAGCTGGCAGGGTGCGCGATGGGTGGCTACTTGGTAAGTTATGCATTTAAATGTATGGTTCTATCTAAAAGTTAAATTTGTGTGTGTGATTATTCAACTGCTCATCAGGAGACAGTGGTTATCCACTAAAGACGTGGCTGTTAACCCCCCTCACCAACCCACAAACTGAGCGAGAGCGCAGATACAATGATGCCCATTCTCCCACTCGGTCAGTTGTGGAGCGAGCAATTGGGCAGCTGAAATGTCGGTGGCGCTGCCTTGATCGGACCGGGGGAATGCTGTTATACCGCCCTGACAAGGTTTGCCGCATCATACTGGCCTGCGGAGTGCTGCACAATGTTGCGCACAGGCATGGCATAACCCTTGGTGAGGTGGTGGCATTGCCAGATGACCCTGACCCAGGACTAGTACATGTGCAGCACAATCAACAAGCCATTCAGGCCCGTCAGTGTGTAATTGCAACAATATAAAAGGTACTCAGACACAAAGTTCATTTTTTGACCAATTCCTTTAATGAGTTGCTTATTTGCGTGAGTGCGTCAGTGACATTTTTCAGGTGACTGTTCATTTCTCCAATGGTCCTGACAATTTGCTGTTGTGACTCCAGACGGCCAGATGGACGGGCTTCAGCACTGGGGGGAGCATTAGAGATACCGGAGACGCTGGACTGAATGGGCTCTGGCTGCTCGGGTGGTGCGGACTCTGAGTGCGTGCCAGTGGACGTTCCTGCTGTTGTTCCTGCGGTTCCTAAGTCCAAATAAACAAAGGCACATGTTAACAGTAATTTGAATCTGTTCCTTATTAATGGGTACACGCATTTGCAATAAAAGCAGTGGATACGTAAAATCTCTGGTGTACTTTTTGGTACATTGCATGCATTTTAAAATTAAATGGTGGCTAGTATGTATCCAAGTTTAAAAAAAATACATTTTAAATTAGTCCCTTTGCTGGCAGTTCTGTATCATATCCGAGTCTCCCACATCAACGGACACGATTCCAGAGATTAACGTGTCTCCTACAATAGAGGCAACTCTCTGATCAAGGGTGTAAGTTCATCGGCCCCTGTACCACCGCCTGTTCTGCCCACACTTTGTCGGTGCGCAGCAGTTCTCCGCTTAACTTCCACCTTTATGTCAGACCATTTTTTCTTAAGTTCATTTACGGTGCGACTCTCAGATCCCACCTGGTTGACTGCTTCAGACAAACTCTCCCACTCTTTTTTTCTTTCTTTTGTTATTAATTCCAGAGGACAAAGTTCCAAATAAAACATTTTTTCTTGTTTCTACTTCTGATAGTAGCACCTTTAATTAATTTTCAGTGAAATTTCGTTTTTTGCTTGCTTTAGCCATGTTCTTGCAGGTTTCTTTTACCAAATTGGACTAATTACCATATTTAAATTAATTTAATTTGGGGAGGAGACTGGGTGGGGCGTTTTGCTCGTGCATGTGCGCTCAATTTTACGTCAATTGAGATGTACAAAGAGAATATGCGTTAGCCTAGAAATCTAGACGCACCCTAGCGGCAGCAAAAATTATTTTGCAGCAAAGTGTGGTCTAGCAACTCTCCATAGACGTTTGAGCTGGAAAACCCCAACTCTGGTAGGGCCAATCACATCGTGTATAGAGTAGGCGGGCAGGCTTAACATAATGACGACAGAGTTGCGACGGTCAGAGCAAGCTCGGACATATTCGGTTTGCAGTCGTTCATCCTCGGATGCGGCCGGCGCCGCGCGCTGTTACAAAACAGCTGTGGCGAAAGGATCAACTTGTCATTTTTTGCCGTGCTGTTGCGTCGAGTATAAAGGCTTTACTCCGTGTCAGCGCGCGCTCTGATCGGTGCACGGACCTCTCCCGAATCATCTCCAGCACTCCAAAGCACCACTAATCCGACTCCGTTTCCCTCGTAAGTTGATATTAGTATTTAAACATTCTCTATGATATTATTTTTTTTATGACACGCTGTCTCTTTCTCTTACACACACACACACATACTGTCTCTTTCTCTCACACATACCGTATGTAGGCTAGTTATAAACTCTTTAGACTTTTAATGATTAGTGTTTTATTTTTAAGTTTGTGGGTCGTGTAAAAAACAAAAAAATCCCTTATTTTGGGGATGGATTCCGGGAAATCTCCCTTATTTACAATGTTCAATGTTGACAGCTGGACTGGATACGGTAAAAGTTTAATACATCAACTTGCTCTGCTGGCTACGTCACCTTCTTCGTTGCTCTGATTGGCTTTAGCGCTATCCAATTGCGTGCAGAGAGAATTTGAAAGACAACCGTTTATCCCGCCCTGTCAATGAAGATTTTCCAGACCTAGCATCTTGATGTAGGTGTGGCATCTTGATGTAGGTCTGGCATGCCAGGCTAAATATGCGTGGGATCCTTCGTACGCAGAGATTCATACATCTGGTTTTTTTTGTGCGTACGCACATTTACAGCTTTGTTCGTACGCAATATTTTAGTATGAATTCAACGCAAGTCTTTGAACATGAGGCCCCAGGCATTTTTAGTTTATGGTATTCGTTTTGTTCATGTTACATTTTTATCATTAGTTTGAATTAATTTGACAGACAGCATTCCCTGATGTGGACCAAGCTAGCGCCTTTCAGAGCTGCCAACTCTCACGAATTCACCGTGAGACACACAACTTTTCACACACTCTCACGCCACATCCATTTTGTCATGCATAGAAAAGGACACAGAGACCGATCTGAGCTCTCAGATTCTGTTCATTTTATTACGCAATTCAAACAATAAATGCAGTTTTGGCGCTTGTAAATGTTAGACGACAGATCCCTAGCGCACGTGAACCGATCATCTCTACTAGCTAATGGTAAAAGAACACGAACACTGTTGAAAGTTACAGTATGTTACAACTTACCAAAATGTATTCCTCATGCATAATATCGACCAATCATTTTTTTTAACTCATCCCTGAACTGAAATTTAGTAGTGGGCTCTTATTTTCACACGACATCACGACATGACATCAGGTTCAAGTACACACAAGCCGGCGCGACTTACTCGTGTTACTGCAGTTTGGCTGGTGGTAACGTTGCCCGCCCGCATACCGCCTCCCATGGCTGAAACTGGTATTACGACACCTGCCGGGGCTAGTAATTTAGCATGCTAATTTAGGTTATATCTCGGCAGCACTATAACTTGTCAGTTTTTAATGACATCATTGCACTTATTTCTTCTCATTCTTTTGATGTGTGTAGCTAATTTTTTGGATATTTTTACCTCAATTATTCCATATGGCACCTTTAAAGCTACACTGTGTAACTCGTTTAGTTTATTCTTAGCTAAAACACTTAGTTCTTTCAAAAATATGTCAAGTCAAGTCACATTTATTTATATAGCGCTTTTCACAATACAGATTGTATCAAAGCAGCTTCACAGTAGCTGCGTTTCCATTACCCTTCAATTTGCGCAAATTGAAATTGCGAAATGAAAATACGCTCAATGGAAACACGTCAATTTCACAAAAACTCCTGTTTATCGCAAAAAAGTTTTTTCGCTCGCATGAGAAGGTTTTTCAGGCAATTCGAAAAAGGATTTTTTCGCAAAACTGCAATGGAAACGGATTTTGCGCATTTACAGTCACCTGACTAGACGGAGTGTGTTTTAGGTCCGTGTCCGCAAATAATAATAATAATTATCATCATTACCCTATTATAACATTTATTAGGCTACATATGTAGAAGACGCTTTTATCCAAAAAAGGAACAAAGCAATTCGTCACATCTCATTAGTACAGGTTGTTGGACAGTAATAGGGCTAAGATTATCACAAATAAACACTCGATTTTGTCCAATATCCAAGAGTGTGTGCGGAGTTTGGAGCACGCACTGGATGGCAGACAGGCATGGGCGCGCCGTGAACACTTTCATTTTCCCATCAACAGAATCAACTTAAAATACTCTATCATTTCTGGTTATACAGAAAATAATAATACATTATTCGCAACTACTTTTATTTGCGTAATGTCACAATAGTACAACACAGATCAATAATATTGTTAAATATTAAATATCCCCAACTAAGCAAGCCAAAAGCAAGGCGACAGTGGCAAGGAACCAAAACTCCATCAGATTGGATGGAGAAAAAAACCTTGGGAGAACCCAGGCTCAGTCGGAGGCCAGTTCTCCTCTGGCTTATATTCATATTGTTTATATATAAATATTAAATATAAATATTGTTTATATATAAAACGGCGCCATAACATATCGCCGGCGTTGAGTCTTCTCTTCTCAGGCGTTGGTCTTCTCATCACGGGCGTTGGGGCATCCGAAATCCCCGTGAGAGGCTGGATACAAAACTGGACCTGACGAACGCCATTGATAACAGCAGAAGGAGATGGGAAATAATTAGCATAGGTGATGTTCATAATGATTTCCATTAAATGGGAGTCGTGTTAGAAAACCACTATCTCACAAACTCTCCGCAACCCAACCATACGCGCCGACCCGTTTGTCTAAAAGGCTGTCGAGCCCCACTGGTGCGTTAAGCAGTTTCAGTGGCAAACGGTTCCGTATGGCATAACAGAGGAATAAAAGGTAAGCATTATGTTAATGCTTGACTAAAGAGATGTGTCTTTAATCTAGTTTTGAACTGTGTCAGCGAGTCAGAGCCTCGGACCGTATCGGGAAGGCTATTCCAGAGTTTTGGAGCTAAATGCGAGAACGCCCTCCCTCCTTTACTGGACTTAGATATCCTAGGAATGACCAGAAGCCTTGAATTTAGTGATCTTAAGGAACGCGGTGGATTGTAGGGCGAAAGAAGGTCCGTTAAGTACATAGGAGCTAAACCATTTAGGGCTTTATAGGTCAGTAGTAGTATTTTGTAGTTGATACGGAACTTGATAGGTAACCAGTGTAGAGATGATAAAATCGGTGTTATCATATTTTCTTGACCTAGTAAGAACTCTAGCAGCTGCATTTTGTACTAACTGTAGCTTGTTTATTGAGGATGCAGGACAACCAGCTAATAAAGCATTACAGTAATCTAGTCTCGAGGTCATGAATGCGTGAACTAATTTTTCAGCATCAGAAATAAATAGCATGTTACATAGCTTAGCAATGTTTCTAAGGTGGAAAAAGGCTGTTCTTGTAACATATGAAATATGATTTTCGAAAGACAAGTTGCGGTCTAGTATAACACCCAGGTCTTTTACTGTTGTGGATAAAGTAACAGGACATCCGTCTATATTAAAGTTGTATTGTAAGAGGTTTTTTTTTGGACCAATAAGTAATACCTCCGTTTTATCGAATTTAATAGCAGGAAATTATGCGTCATCCAGCATTTTATATTTTTGAGACACTCTGTCAATTTAGATGAGTTAGTGTTTTCATCTGGTCTTGATGAAATATATAATTGAGTGTCGTCAGCGTAACAGTGGAAGTTAATTCCATGTTTTCTTATAATTACCAAGTGGCAGCATATATATTTAGAATAGCAGAGGGCCTAAAACCGATCCTTTCGGTACTCCATAGTCTACAGACGTTATCTTTGATTTTTCCCCATTTAAACAAACAAAATGATAACGGTCGATAAAGCCCGATTTAAGCCCGATTTGCAAATCGTTGAGTCGCCGACAAGTCAGGGTGTTATCGCGTGCAAATCGCGGGCGATTAGCGGACGATTAACGCTCGCCAATCCGTTAGTGTGAAAGAGCCAACAACGCACCAAAGACAGCTCGCAGACACCTCGCAGACAGGTCACCGAGCCCAGAAAAATATCTAGCATGCTAGATATCTCGAGCAGTCGCGCGACTCAATCTCAGTGATGTCATGAGTACAGCCAATCATAGCAACGCATGGGTTGAGGACACCAGGTAAATCTTACTTTTTGTTTTCTTTTTTGCATTTTTTTTTCTCAGAGCAGATCGTTGAGCAAACAGTGTGCAGCACTAGTTTCTGTCTGACGTCCATATTCGCGTGTTGTGTTCTCTGCAGTTTCGCGTAATTTCTGGTTCGTTTTATTGCGTGGTTTTTCGTGACAAAACATGGTTTCTAGACCAGATAGAATCGTGTTGTCAACTCGTTATTTGTTTGATTATTTTCAGGATTTAGACCATACTATAGTACCGAAACAGCTCTCATTGAGTCACAAATGATATGCTCTTATCATCCGATCGTGGTTGTATCTCTACGTAGTGCGTTGTTAACTCGTGTAGTGAGTTACCTCCTGTTGTGGATCAATCACGTTGTGTTGTGTGGTGTGAACAGTTAACAACTTGAACACTCATGATTTCACTGAGAGCAAGTCATGTAGTGTGAACTGCACAGTTCAGCCCGACATTTTAAAATCATGTAGTGTGAACTAGGCTTTACCGACTGCCATAGCCATACATACAGTCGGCAACGCGTCATAGTTGGGGGCGTGGTCGGCGTGGGGGAAAGCAGCGCGACCATCCCATGGTCACTTGCCAAATAAAACATTTTTAAAACATTAGTTTATATTTGAATTAGGCTAAATCTAGATTTACAAATAATAACTTGCCTGACGGTTTATTTAGCAACCGGAGATATTTATAGTCCGCTCAGCTTGTAGAACCCTTCAGGTTCAAAAACACATTTTTTTTTTCATGAAACACAAAGGTAGGCATAGTTCTTTTTTTAATTACACATAAAACAATTAATCAAACAGGCTCCTTAATTAGGCTTGAAACGCTGTAGCTACTCTCCTCCTGCCTTGGTCTGGACAGCTGCGTAAAACTCCCGCAGGGTCTCATTCAGAGCAGCAGAGGTGTAATTTTCAAAGCTGGAGTCCATTTTTTTTTTTTTTTTGGAAAAATAAAGTCTCTGAGTGTATTTACTGCCCATTTCGTGTTTTTTTTCTTTTCGTGTTGATCTCATCTTTTTCGTCTTCTATTTGATTCAATTCTCCTTGTGTTATCTCTTTGTGTCGTTTCTCCGTTTTATTTACATTTCTTCTTTCTTCACAGCATCCTAGTCGTCAAAATTGTCATATTCTCCATAAATGTTAAAAGAAATAACGAAGTCGCTCATTGTTGTATTAGTAGGCTATGTAATATCTAACTAACGTTAGATGTTTGTTTTGATAGAGCAAATTGTTAACAGATACTTTGACTGCCTGTTGCTATGGTTACTCACAGCTGTTGTGGGCAGCACATTTATTTATTAATTTCGAACGGTAAACAGGCAGTTTCACCAGAACTACTTTACTAGGTGTCCTCTATCACTTTTTAACGGACACCCTGCAGCCAATCAGAATCGAGTATTCACCCAGACCATGGTACCCAGATAGCAAACTGACATTGAATCAACGTGGAAACATGACATCGAAACAACGTTGATCTGACATTGTTTTGCTCATCGAATTAACGTTGAACCAACGTCAGATGCATCATTCTTTCAAAACTAACGGGAAATCAACTTGAAATCAACGCGTTGTTTCAACGTTATGAAAGCAAACCAATTTTCGATTTCATTTAGCTTTGAAGAATGCCGCGTCTGACGTTGGTTCAACGTTAATTCGATGAGCAAATCAACGTTGTTTCAATGTCATGAGAGACGTCGTTTCCACGTTGATTCAATGTCAGTTTGCTGTCTGGGTATAAAGCATTCATAAACCCCGCTATACTTATATTTTACATACATTATTATCCACAATGCACAATTTGCTTTTTCAATGCTTTTATTAATTTGAGGAGTGTTGCAGAGAAGATACTGAAAAGAGATTAAAGTTTAGAAGAGATTTGATTTCAGAATAACATTTTTGACAATATAATGTCGGAAAAATTTAGTAAATGTGGTTAAATCGAAGTAACTGCAGTAGCATGAGGGTCTCGCAGTTGCATTGCACAAATGTAGGGCCTTGTGTGAAAACAGCCCCTGTCGTTCCAGCAACGTTTAGCTGTAAGGTGAAATAATGAAAGTTATTCTGATGATTATAGAATCAAAATGAAATGGAACATTTTATTTAAGGAACTTTGTGAATGTTACTGTATGATGTAAAACTGTATAATTGGAAATATTAAAAAAACGGACTGCATTCTTACGGGAATAGTTGATCTCCAAACAGTTCTCATAACCATGTGGATTTGAGTTAGGTTCTCCAGCGCACCAGTGGGTATACAAAAACACAGTTCCATCACTCCACATCCAATGTTTATCCTAAAGAATGAAGAGAGTGAATACAAAGAATGCACTACTGTTGTCAGACTTCAGGAAGAAGCCAATTAAGATCAGATTTGAAGTAAAACCATCTTCATTAGAAACTTTGCCTTTACTGTTTAAAGCTGAATTTTTTACAAAAGTCTCTTTACGAAAAATGTTGGTTTTATTTTTTTCAGTATTTGGGTAGTTTTCTTGTGCTACCCAGGGGTGCGTTTCCCGTACAAAGACGTAGTTCAATATTTCACAACCATAGTACGATGCATTGTTATAAAAATCAACTAGCTAGTCACGACTGTTTCCCGAAACCCACTGTCGCAAAGTATCGTTCAACCACGTTGGTTTCGCACGTGGTAGAGTAATAACTACTTTTAATGAAACTGTTTGAGATCCAATTACCGCTAGATTTGTTTTATATAAATTACAGACATGTCATCTGAGGACTATTTCTAATTGTTCTCAGGTGTTCTGCTTTATTACCAGACTCAATATTTGGCTCGTTCTTACATAGTAGAGCACGTTCGCACATGCGCACTCTTCAAACACGTTACTTCAAATCTTTTGACAAACTAAAAGACGTAAATTACATTTGTATGTATTCTAAATAAAAGGCAACGGTTGTACTGAATGTCAGCTTGCTTATTTCGCTCAAGATAAGGATTTATTACCTCCAAATGTCATGCAATATAGAAACGATGCCTCTAACCACAGGTCGAGAGCTGTCGTTCAAACCACATAACTTTGTGAAGCTGTTTGCGAATGTCCGTTGGAGCGATGGTCTCGGGAAACACTGACTCGTTAAACTATGCAGATATCAACGAAACTTGCGACCATAGTTGGCTAACGATGCTTTCGGGAAACGCACCCCAGAGCTTGGGTCAGACGTAACAAACCAGGGAGTGTTATTTATCGCAGGCTTTCGCCACGTCAAAATGGTGTAGGCCCACGTCTTCTGTAAAATACAGGTATGTGCACTATTTATTTTTATCTTTAAATTTGTTATTGTGTGTATATTGTGTACATTTTATGCAAAGCAACATACAGGGGCGCGATGTGAGTCACCTTTTACACTAGTGTCGCATGGCTCGCGTCTGGCTTTTCACCTGATGGAAACATCTGATGCCTTGCATAAAATTTTATTAAAAAAATATATACAGAACATAAATACGTATGATATCAAAATATGTTCTCAGAACTGTGCACTGAAGGTCTAAAGTTTTTTCAGCTGAACAAGACACAAATTTCAACCCCCTGCCAAATTATCACTGCCCTCATTGAAGTCAGTACCTGATTGCCTAATCCTAACCCCACCCCTACCCCAAAACTAACCTTAAACCAACCAATGCTAGGTGGGAAATGATTTGGCAGGGTTAAATTCGGCACAACACCTGTTCGAGATTCAGCACACTTTTACGCTGGAAACGGGAAAACAGAGACTTGTCGATTACCCTTTAATTACTTTTAAATGTTAAATTTTTACTAATATTTCTTAAACAAGCTTAAATTGTCAATATGTATAATGATATAAAATACACTATACTGTAAAATATGCTTGAAAATTTAGGAAATTATCATGCAAGTCATGTATCGAGTGTTTTAAAAACGTAGACATTCATTAATATATGAAGGAAATAAATAATAATAAAAAAAAGAATCAACTCTGATGGCTTAATCAACTCATTATGCTTGGTTAAGAAAAGCTGTAAAATTAACCCAGCTTGAGTCCCGTCATTTATTTACCCAGCCCTTGGGTTATTTTTAACACAGTGTTCTTTTAGAGTGTAGGACACACATTTTAACTTACTAAAGAGTCATGAGCACCAATCCAAGTCGCAGTGGAAGGAGGCACCAGACCCAGCAGGAAATCATTTTCCCGTTTTTTACGGATAGATGCGAGGTTCCCTCCAAGACTTTGACAGTTTTTCTAAAGAGACAATTTTTTTATTGCCACTGTACAAAATCAAATGTTATGTAGCAAAAAGCAAAACTGACAACATTTTAAACATTTGCGAACAAAGTCTATTCCAATTGATCTATTGTTAAAATCCTCGTAACAATTTGCACAAGTAAAGTTAAGTCAATTTTACTAAGTTAAGTCAACTTTACTGCTACTGCTCTGTACAACTCGCCTGTTATCGAGTAGAATCTACTTACTATTGAACTTCACATTCATTTGACATTTAATTGAAGTAATTACGTAAACATTACTTAATAATATTATTATTTTTTAATTTCCCATATAGAATAAATAAAAACATCTACTCAACTAACTTACTTAGTTTATATTTAGCAAAATGAACTCTACAAAATAACACTGAATTAAAACACACATTTAAAGTGTATGCTTCACTTAGAAATATCCAAATAAATAATACAATAAATATTGTATAAATGCAATACTTTATCTAAGTAAATAGAAGTAACAAACTAGATGAACACAGATACCTCGATACTTGGTACACAATGACGGTAACGTTCGATAGATCGTTTTTGAGTATGACTGTGTTATTTTGCGTGGAAAATGTATCCAGATAACACAAGCACAAGCAATGATTGATATCAACACTTTAATTTAGACATGCTTGAATTAAGTACTTAAATAGACTTTAATTTGTTTTTTAATTCTGGCCTTGTTTTTTAAGTAGTATTTACTTCACCATAGAATAATTTGTATCAGTTTGAATTAATAATTTGATACAATGCACTTATTGTACATGCATATCTTTACATCTTTTTTCAAGATGTAGTTAAAGCACCTAATATTAAGTTTGACCAAATCTTGTTGTACACATTACCTCTGCTTTGATCCATTTAGCTGGATGAGAAAAGAACTTGTAGCATCGGCGTTTAAATTTGGTCCATGTAGCGGGGCATTCACTGGCTAAATCAGCATCCAGTCTATTCAGTCCATCCAGTCCATTCAGTCCATCCAGTTCATCCAGTCCATTCCATCCATTCAGTTCATCCAGTCCATTAACATCTCTTGTAAAAGTCACTGCAAATAATAATAATAATTTTTTTTTTTTATGTAGCTTATTTTATGTTTGTGTGGTTATGTGCTGAAAATATGTGTACTTTATATACACTGTAAACTCCTTAATAATCATGGAATTATTAATCATTAGTATATTTCATATTTCCAAAATGTTTAGGTTTTTACAATATAAATGTCTTGGTTACCTTCTGCATTCCCCACGGAGAAGATAAGGAAAAGAAGCAGACAACTTTTCAGCACTACCATAATGAACCTGAAATTAATAAGCAGAAAAAGTGCACTCATATGCTGAACACTGCGGTTCTCAATGCATTTAAAGACAAAAATACGTCAGGTAGAACATTTATTCAGAAGGTTTCTGTTCCAAAATCTCACCTTGGTTTTCAAACAGTTACCTTTAGCAGATTTTGTAAGAGCCAGAGCCGGTGTAATACAGTTATATTCTCATATCTATTGAGTGCAGAGGGGCAATATTTATACACATCATATCAGGAAGTAACAACCGGTGTCCTGTGCAAAAAACAAACGTTACCATTTATGGTATATTAAAGGGTAACTAAACCCCTGGTCAGAGCCTGACTCCACCCACTTGTAATTGTAAGACTGGAAAAACTGGTTAAAGAGAAATTCATTGCTTGCAAATTAACATTTGACACCCTACCCCCTTTTCTCTTTATCTTATCTGCATCTTCTCTCTTTCACTCTCTCAGTCAATGATATTGAAAACTCACACAAGAATATGGTTTTAATGTGAATCTGATAATCGTTAAGGATTGTTTAGAATCATTTTGATGGTCGCAGGGTGACTGGTAATAATGTCTCATTTCCAAAGAAGTTCAAGAAAAGGTAATAAGGTTTTTAAGAATATATAAATATCTTGCACACAAAAGGGTGTGTCTTTGAGTTAATCACCTTCTACCTTTTGTCTGAATGCTAACTCTCCTTCCCCCAGTAAGCCTGGTGGGGGGATTCAGTCCATTGTATCCTGGTGACTAACATATCAGGTAAGGTTTGGCTATTTAAGGGGTGCAGCGGGAGAGCTCGGGGCTGCTTTCTGTATTCAGATCGGCCCGTGATGTTGTGTCTAGGCTCAGCTCATGTAATATGTTGGGTAAAGTTCTTTGTTCTTTGAAACAGTTAATGGTTTGCTCTGATTATCTTGTGGAATTCTAATGATACATTTACCTGACATAATAAATTGTTACATTTGGCTATTCTAACAGACTTTGACTTTATTTTCATTAGTTAAAAGAAATAGTCAAGCATTAACGTATTTAATGATGCACAGATATCATTGATAAACCCTTCTCATTTTATGGAGTCAGATGAAACGAGTTAATACATAAGATTAAATGTATTGCATTTAATTAAAAAACACTTTGCTTGGAAAAGACGGAACGCGCTTGAAACCTTCACCACGAATCGAACTCCGCGATTTGGGTCGATTTCGTGGCCCTTTTTACATAATATTTGAAAAAATCTGGATGCTTGCAGCTTAATTGGTTTTACTCAGCCATACATGTTCGAGCCAGGACTACCTACTATAATTATAACATAAGCACACAAGGCAACTTACACTCATTGGTGGGCACACACTGCCAATGATGGCACCAGTTGTCGGCGCGACAGTAGGTTCGGCCCCGTTAATACATTTATTTTTTATGTATAAGCCATTCACCAGTAACAGCGGATTATCTGTGAATCCCAGTTGTCTTGTCATGACAAAGACACTGACAGGTTATGATGGTGGTTTATGTCAAGGTGCCATAACAAAGACATCTTAAACAATGTCATATTTGCATTCAAAATGTGATTATTGAGCGAAAGTCACTTAATGACGGCTGACATAAACATGCATAACACGTCATGGCTATGAAGGTGTCATCATGTCAGTCTTATGCACACCCCGCAAGTAAGGTGTTACCAAATATGGCTATAACTGTCATTGGATTAATATTATAAATATTACGTAGAAGTGTAATGTTGACGGACACTGTAACCAAAAGAGATTTGAATTTTTCTTTGTTTAGTTTGCACACTGAATATGGGTTGGAGCTTTTAATTTTGAACTCTCTCAAAGTGCACCAGATTGATGAATTTAACATTAAAATTCGCAAAATTTTCTTACACGGGTGGCATGCCCCCAAACCCCCCTAGAAGGATCGAGTTCCACCCATCACAGTTGTACCAAACATCCTGTGAGAAACACTGGTATTGCCATGCCAATGCAGCTTATAGCTTGTTTTCATCACTGTGGAGCATGGCCATAGATTACTCGAGGGACGGGTGGGACGATTCGTCCCCTGCACTTTTTCATAGGGCAATTGTGTCTACGACAAGCTGAGGTTTTCGCGGGTATGTAATACCTTACATCGAGATTTAAAATCCAAAGAGTCAAGGATAGAGTCATAACCCCCCCTCTACAGAGCGGCTACCAGACGCTCCACGAAAACAACTCCAACACAACACAAGAGTTCAGGAGGGAGGTGGAATGGTGGAGGATCAGGGGAAGGGATGGTGGGGCAGGTCCATGAAGGGAAATAGGAACAGGTTTAGCTGGGGACCAGGGCAAAACAGAGAATCCATCAGGAGGCCAGGGCGAAACAAAGAGTCCATCGGATGGCCAGGGCAAAACTGAGAGTCCATCGGGTGGCCAGGGCGGTGAAAACCCCTCGGACGGCCAGGCATGGCTCCGGTTCTGGAACAGGCACTGGCTCTGGCTCTGGAACCGCCTCCGGTTCTGGAACAGGCACTGGCTCCGGCTCTTGAGCAGACACTGGCTCTGGCTCCGGCTCTGGAGCAGACTCTAGCTCAGGAACAGTCACCAGAACAGCAACGGCCACTAGGACAGACAAAAACATAGAAACAAACACTGGCTCTGGAACAGGCACTGGTTCCGGCCCTGGAACAGGCACTGGTTCCGGCTCTGGAACAGGCACTGGTTCCGGCTCTGGAACAGGCACTGGCAAAGACTGAATAGACGGAACGTGAACAGTCTCTGACTGGGCAGACATGATGTGAACAGTCTCTGACTGGGCAGACGTTATGTGAGCAATCTCTGGCTGGGCAGACGGGACGTTAACAGTCTCCGGCTGGGCAGACGGGATGTGTTGCAGGAGGCTAGGCTGGTGGTGGAGGTGTTGCAGGGTGAGGAGGATTTTCTGATGGTTGAGGTGTTGCAGGGTTGCATCACCATGGTGCGCACATTTACCATGCTGTTCCGGGAGGTCGATGTGTTGGAGGTGGCTATGCTGTCCCTGAAGGATGTCAGAGCGGAGACACTGGAGCATCCCATCAACAGCTGGTAAGTCAAGCTAGCTGTAAGCGCAGCCAAATGGACCGATAAGGTTCACCGTATGCAAATACATGTTACATGGTGTTGGCAAGAGACAGGTAGACATCTAGACATGGTAGGCATCGCAAACAATGTTTCACATGAAGAGTTCAGATGCAAAAGCCTCTAAGTGCCATTTGAAATTTTCTTCTAGAATGATCATTTTTATCAAGCTTGTACGTATATTGAAGTTCAGTGATTTCACTTAAATGGCAATGATAATTACCTATTAAATGTTATTTAAGTGAAATTACTGAACTTAAATATACTGTAAAAGTTTGATAAAAATCATCATTAAAGAAGAAAATTTCAAATGGCATTTAGAGGCTTTTGCATCTGAACTCTTCACATGTTGTGTCGCAAAACCAGAGGTGGTTTGTGATCATTCTGATCCACTCAAACAACTCTTCGTTGAGGCATTGCAGCAGTCGTTTTTTGACATACTTAACAATGTGCCAGAGGTCATATTCATGCTGCATGGACTTATGTTCCTGACGCATGATTTCTGCACTGATGGGTGGCAGTCAGTTGCCAAAACAGATATGGTCACATCATATTCTTCCAACTTGGAAAGGCACCTCTCAATACCATCCAATTCAAGCCAATAACTGTTCTTCACCTCTGTGACTTGAACAGTTTCCTGTGCCACCACCAGTTTTGACTTGATGTCCAGGAGTGAGTAGGTTTCATATGAGGCGCTGTGACCTGGACTGTCATGTCTGGAGTCTCCTGACACTGACATCACCTAAGGCACTCAGTACCGCCTCATTGTGTACTGTCCAGGTATTGTTGACCTCTGGGATGACATAGGCCTTCTGTATGTTAAACCACTGTCTTTTTGAGATGGTTTCCAGACCAATAGTGTCACACACCTCCATGAATGGACGGCACTCATTTCCAGTGACAAATACAGCCGCAGGGACAGAAAGTTTGCATTCCATAATTCCTCTAACTAAAGGCTGAGAATGCCACATATAGTCTTGGCCATCAAAGCATTCTGTATTGATCCTAAGCCCAAATCCACTTTTGGAGACTGTCGGTGGCCTCACCAAACATTTGCTACAGCCTTCCCAATGACACACATGGAAGAGCTTCAACAACTCTCCTGTCGACACAATACTTTTTCGCTCTTCTGAGACATTTGGTTCCTCATCCTCAACATCACAAAAACTCTGATCCTCATCACTGATGCTTTCCTCACTACCCAACCCAAACTCATCATCACTGGGATTATCCTGACCAGGGCCTGAAATTAACACCCGACCACCTGCCAAATGCGGGTGAATTTTTCTATTGGCGGGTAACACTGTCAATCTACCTGCCACATTGGCAGGTAGCCAATGAGAATTGAGTGATTCATTAGGATTTTTACATTTCAACTAAGTCTGCCACTGCGTTTGACTTTAGCTAAAATGTGGCGGCACATTACTGGGGTAAAGAGGCCAGCTGAAACAAAACAAACAGCCAACAAAAAGATGAGGATGAGAAAAAGAAAAGTAAAGAAGACATTTTAATACAAAGTGAACAATCGGCGGCAATGGCAAGGTTCGTGAGCGGCTGATTTATGACAGCGACTGTTTCGTAACGTTCATGCGATCAGAAAGGCCCTTTTCTGACTACGTTTGGATGTGCGAGTATTAACCTGTTGGTGAGATGGGATAAGATAATGTAACGCTGATGTACTGTAGCCTACAGTACAATGACAGTTGCACAGATGTTTGTGCGTGTGCAACTGTGCATGTTGGGAGTTGGGAACCAGTGAGAAAATATTCGATACCCGGTAATTTTACCAGTAATAACACTATTAATTTAGTTCATAGCTCCTGAATGCTGTAACTAAAAGCTGTCAGGATCTGTCTACGTGACTAAATCAGCCATCAACACAGCCGCGTGTGATTTGTTTACATACGAGCTGCGGTAGGTCTATCTGTTGAGTACATACTAAAATCAATGAATAAAAAGATTTTAAAAAAAAGTATGTTCTTAGAGTTATTATTATTACTTGACAGCACTTAAATGTGTATTCTTACAAGTGAAAGAACAATATTGTGAAATTCCCCCTTTTTTTCACCTTTAGCCTATATAAAGGTGAAAAAAACCCAGGAAAAATGACAATTTTCTCACTGGGATATTTTTCTCAAAAAGTGTTT